AAATTTTTGCCATTGATAGGATTTGAACACCCAACCTACCACTTGGAGGGTTGACAACCTGACCACTTCACTAGGTCGCCACACCCCAAAAGGATTCATTTATAAAAGACACAGATTTTATAAATTCTTAAAATTATACATACCTTCGAAAATATTCTTAGTATACATTACAATAAAAGTATACTTAAATCGAAAATACCAGCTACAATATTAGGTGCTTTTTAATAACAAGCTTCTTTAGTTCATTACAATTGCTATGCTGCAAGTAATATTTAATCTGTTGAATAGCAGAATTCAAATACCATTCAACTTGTGCTTTAACCTACAATTCAATTATTGCATGAATGCAGGTCAAAGCACAAGTTGAATGGTATTTGAATTCTGCTATTTAATAAATCGAACATTTTAATTTACTATATCATTGCCTTCACTCTTTTTACTAATACATATTAGCTACTATTAATAAAGATCAATGCAATAAACCAATTAATTTTGTTGTTAGTACAATTAAATATAACTGCTAATATCATAAAACAAGTTAATCTAGTCAATGCAATTATACATCATGAAGCCAAATAATAAACTAACACTATATTTTCATACTAATTATTTGCTTGAATAATTCTGTTTGTTATAATCTTCACTGTTAAAAACACTACAATGGCAGAAGGCACAGTGTGAATTATTACTTGTTATTTTTGTTTTTTTGTTTCTTTCAATTGCTAATTTAATTCGCCTTTTTGTAAATTAACCTTTTCCAACATGTTGAAGTGAATTCTGAACTTCAAGACAAGATGCTTGAGCATGTTTTTCAACTTGACTACCACCTATTAATTAATTATCTTTTGTAACCTGATCATATTCTAAAACTTCATTTTCATATTCAAAATCTTGTTCATATTCTAAAACTTGATTGTTTTCAATGTTTGGTAGCAGATTTATTTTTTTGCTACATTGTATTTCTTCATGTTTTAAATACATTCTTTAAACATTTTCATTAAATCATTAGGATTATCATAATCAACTGATTCTATGCATTTATATGCAAGTTTAAGCAATATTCCTTTAGCAGATTGTTTTTGGCTAATCACTTTTGCAGCAGCTTGTTCAGGTGGTTTAATAGGCATAGCACTCTATGACTTTGCAACTGTTGAAAAGAAGGATATGCTTAATGCATTCAATATTGAATTTTCATGTTCATTTGATTTTGCTCTAACAAATGACTCATTAATAACCAATGCATCTGCAACATCATCCTTATACTAACACTTTGGAATAAGAGAAATATGAAATAAGCTACTTTCAGACTGTAAAATAACATAGAACCAATGGTGACATATAATTCTACTATCAAATAACAAGATACAGGTGCATAAATAAAAGTCATTTTTCAATAGAACTACATGCTGTTCAATACTTGACTTATGCTCAATAGAATTAACCTCTCAAACCTCAGTTATTAGAGAATGATCAATTCTCTCAAGAAGCTTCTTAAGTCATATTTGACAAAAGTCATATTCAAGTTTAATTGACCCATTTTTAACCACATCTGGTGTTAAATTATATAGATTATCAAAGTTAACCTTTTTATCATTATATATTACTGCTTTATTCATTTGATCAACATGCAATTGTAAAATTTTAGGAGTTATATATTTTTGTAAAATATTATAAATATTTAAAAAAAGCTTTCTACAAACATTTAGTGTTGCATATGTTAATGTTTTCTCACACCAAGCTGAAAACTGACCTATAAATTGCTTCTCTGCAACACATAATTTAAGTCATTTGAATAAAATATGAAATTGGGTTTTTTTATTTACAGATCATTTGATTACACTATTTATTGATTTCGATTATTGGGTAGATATTATTCCTGCAGTGAAAATCTGACTTGTAAATGCCTTTGCCCATGTTGTTTTACGTGAGTCAAGTTGTTTAACCAAGTACTCAGTTGATTCTAGAAAATCAATCATTAATTATTACTAATATCTTCCAAATGCTTCTTTGCACAAAACATTTTGGATACAGTAAAATGCTTTGAGAAAATCACCATAATAATCACCAAATGGTTTAGACAATTGTTTTTTAAGATTGTATTTGATATGCCAAATACAGTGAAGAAGATAAGTATTCAGATATATTTTAAGAACTACACTTTCAAGACCCAGGTTAGCATCAATAATAAAGGCACCAGGCTGAACTCCAGTTGCTTCGATTGTTTGTTGTAATACCCATCTGTAACTTTTATTTGTTTTGTCAATTAATACAACCTGTGCAATTATCCGTAATTTAAAATTATTATTGACAATAGCAAAAATGCTTAATGGTAGATTATAGGTATTGGTTGATGCTGTGTTATCATTTAAAATGATATCTGCATAATGTTGCCAAAGTTCTCGTTGTTCAGGTAACATATAGAACACACCTTGTAATCTATTTGTCTCTAAATCAATTAATAGTTGAATATACCAATCAGGATCCTTAGCACATTCTTTTTCATAATGTTGAAGAAGCTTTGCAACATTACCATCCTGCATTTCATGAATTTGACAAAACTTATAAACATAGTTCTTTACATCATAATCCACTATTGTTGTTTTAAAAAACAACTCATGAAGTAATTTGATCTGAGATAGCATATCAAGATCACAAAATGTATAGCTTTCAATAAGTTCTTTTATTTCTATAATAAGTTTTTAATATTTCATACCAAAAGCCACAGTTTCAAAAACCAATAGATGATTGTATTCAAGACACATAGACATCAATTTAATTACTATTTCATTTTCATGCTCTTACTTTTAGACATATTAACAAGGAAAGGACAACTTATTCTTTTTGATCCCTTATTTTTTTGCTTTTCAAGTAGGACATTCTTATATGGAATGTATTTACCAGACCATTCACAATCCCATGTATGCTGACATGGATCACAACTATTGTAACTCATTTCTTCCTAATCACAAAGTTGTTTTATCTTGTATAACATTCTAAAACCTCCTGACATTTATTCTATGTTTCAAAGATTTTTTCATGATATAACTCAACATGAACTTGAGATAAATGATGACTTGTATTTCTAGAGTTGTTCTTTAGATTATGTTCCAGTTCTTTTGGTTCATCATTATTATTTCCAATATTCAAATTCTCTGAAATAACATTAATAAGTGAACTTTCATTTACTATTAAACTATAATCGTTCATTTCATTTTGTCTTGGGTAGCTATCAGGTAAAGTAGATAAAATGTTTTCTATGTTTGTAAAAGGGGTTTGTTCCATTATATGTGTAGATGAAGGAAAAAAAAAGTTTCTGAAAAGAAAAAAATTCTAGAAAAAAAAATAGTAAAGCACTATAACCGTACTAGCAAGAGAAGGGGGACTAAACAAATACTGATATCAGTTGCGAAATACTATAGTAGTAAGAAAAAAGAGAACTAAAAAGAGTATACTTGTGCTTGTAAAAGCAAATTAGTTGCAAAAAAGAGAAGTGCGCACAACCTACAACTAACTAGCCCTGAAACTAACAATAACATTGAGTCTAATTTAACTCAAACCACTACGCTATAACAATTGCTAATAATAATGATCACTTACGTGCATGCGTACATAAGCATTACGTGCTATATAACGATATTGATTATTGATCACCTATTTAATTACTATTTATTACATAAAAAGTGACATATTTCTATATATTTATTTTTAGTATCACCCCTATATGTGACACTATCACGTGCGTGGCAATTAACTTAATTATTTCTTTTAAAACAATATAGCAATATAATATTTTATTATATTGGCAGAATTATATGCTTTAGTTTGTAAAAAAAATTAAAGCAAAATCCAATTTCTTATAATTATTGTATTTATATTCAACATATTAATATATAGAATTGGCCCGGTATAGTCAAGAACAACGGAAAACTTTGGAATTGTTACAAACGGCTTTTACAACTCAGGGTTTAAATGATTATGTTATGGCCGTATTTTCCAAACCGACTAGAGAACAAATGACAAGCCCGGATAAAATGCAACGGGATTTGAATATACCTTTTAAGAAATTTGTTGCATCTATAGGTGGTCGTATGGGAATTTCTCCCAATCCTGAAATTTTTACACCTGACTTTGCTATTTACCAAAACCTATTATTGGAAATTAAAAATCATATTAATAATACACCAAGAGTCTATGAAAATGAAAAATTTAAGGAAGTTCGAAAAAGTTATGACGATCTCCAACTTAAAAAAGATTTAGAAAAAGAAACGGCAAAGAAAAACTATGAAGAAGACTTAATCAAAGTAGGAAAACAGAAGGCTGAAGAACACTACAATCAACGGATCGCAGAGATCACTCTAGACTATGACGATAGGGTTACAGAAATTCTTGTTGTATTTGCTGCTGCTGCTATAATAGGCATTATTGTTTTTGCAAATCCAGCAGTCTGTAGACTTGCGATCACTCTATTAGCAAATTCTTAATAAGTATATTTACGAAAATGGCAATTATTTTATATTACTGTATTTATACTTTATATATACATACTTTGCTTATAATAAATAACTATCATTTTTTTTAAAAAAAAAACTATTATATAAACTTTACAGAACTTTGACTTTTTAAAAACATGATTACAAAGAGTTATCATAAATATAATTTGGGAACGCCTATTTTCATCATGGAAATTTTCTGTTTCCACCATGTTTATTACACGACTTCTGCTACATAAATATGATAAATATATTGTAATGATAAATTATGTTCAATGTGGAAATAGTAAATTTTCATGGTAGAAATAGGCGTTTCCTATAATAACTGAAAAGCTTGTCAACGAAGTGACAGAGCGATCATTATTGCGATATCAGAGAACTCAGATCACGGGGAAATTTATTGTTTAGCCTTTTATGGAATTGTTGTAATTAGTTGATAGTTCGCTAGTTCTAAGCAGGTTTTTCGTGATGTAGCGGCCTGATTGCATATGATGATATT